TACAAGTCTTCAACGTCCCTCTAAATTGGCTGAGTATGGATGTAGGGTTGAAGATAGGTAAGGTTTTCCCTAAGCTCAATAATGTGGTTGTGGCGGGGGCAGGCAGTCACGGGGGTAAAATCCTTAGGTTACTGGTTTCCATCAACTTGACAGAACCTCTTTCCAGGTGTGCCTCTGTCAGGTTGGGAGAAGAAGTTATCAAAGTCAGCTTTAAGTACGAAAAATTGGTGAACATGTGTAATTACTGTGGTTTATAGGTCATCTCGACAGAAGCTGTAAGAAGAAGATTGATGATATTGCCAAAAACTCATTGAAGATGGGACAATACGGTGATTGGATGAGAGCGCCAGATTTTTTGCAGTAACTCTCAACCTCAATCAGGCTCCCCGTCCAATCCAGCAAATGCTTCTCCTCCCACCACATCTGCAAGTCACCTCCGAGAACAAAATCAACTTCTAGCAATTGATAACGTAGCAACTCGGAGCACTCCTTTGGAAGTGCAGGACTCTAGCGGCCCTATCCTCAAATCATCAAGCAAGGAATTGGTAGGGCAGATCCTTAGTGATGCTGCCTCATCTGAAGACATGATTTTTAACAGTTCTAAGTCAGTATTCAAGGAACCTGCTGGTATTGCAATCAAAGATCCTCACACCCCTCTGGACCAGAGGATTTCGATAATCAGAAATCAAGACCAACAAATGATTGCCATAGCCTCAAGTTCTGATCCTGACCTCATCATGCCAGATCTTCAAGTTAAAACTCTTAAAACCTGAAAACGTGCTCCTCGCAAGGATGGCAGACTTTACAGACAAGAAGACCAGCAGTTAGCAATTGTTTCTGCTGTCTCAGGCAAAAGGGACATACAAGAGCTCAACTCTGCAGACGAGAATTCTCCCATTGATACTTGTAATACAGAAGGCTCTAAGAAGCACAAGTCAGACTCACCAAAGGTGGAGGTGGCCAGCCTCGAATGGCGCCCAAGTGACCGATGTTAGCTGCGGTGTGGAACTGTCGAGGACTGGGTGGGCCCTCGACGGTTTCCCAAATCAAAGAGACTTTTAGATCTCACCACCCCCTTTTCTTTTTTCTCTCCGAAACTAAAAATTCTTCTTCTTTTGTTAAGTCCGTTGCTAAAAAACTGGGTTTTGTTGATAGGCATGTGTTGGTCGACCCAGTGGGTATGAGTGGCGGTCTATTACTCCTCTGGTCTTCTGAGGTCTCTATTGTCCAAACAATTTGTTACCCTT